AACGCTAGATGTCGCTAAAAGTTACACACTGTAGCTTTAAAAATGAATGAGCGTAGAGCCTCTTTCTGCTCACGTTTCAGCAAAAAAACCCAAGTCTAATCCTTCCAAAACTGATTCCAAAGCGGAGTCAAATTAGAACTGTTCAATAGTTGTTGCCATCTTCCTTGTTGTTCTTTCTCCAGCGTTGTGCAGCGTTGTCGTCATGCCCTCAAAACCCCGCCCGCTTTGCATTCAAAATTTTAAAACAGATCTCTGCGTTGTGATTGGCCCGCCAGTTCTAGGGCGTGGGTTATTGATGGAGGCTAGACCACTCTCAGGCAAAAATGATTTTGGCCGCTGGCGGGTGGGGCTAGTTTATTAGGCTAACTAAACTAATCTTCATGCACTGATGGCCAATGGTTTAACATTTAGTTTTTGTTAATGTAATTTAGATACATGCTGCCATCTGGATTGAATTATCCAAATGGGTACGAGCCTCCTATCGATAATTACTGTATGGGTGATTATCTTCCAACTAGAAACAAGTAGTTTAACCCCAACTGGAGCAATGAGTTTAGCATTTCTTCTACTAATATAAAAGCCTCAGAAAAACCCACTCAAAAATTCAACACCAGTATAAGAATTTCAGAAACTATGGTTTTAAAAAAATAACTTTTTTTTGGGAGTTATAAGCCCAACAGACGAAATGCTAATTTTACTGGGTGATCATGTCGCCCTCCTCATATTTTTCACTCTTTCAGTTTCCATGTCATTGCTTACTTTATGTTTTCGTGATTGACTGTCACATGTTCAAGAAGACAAACACACCTCAACCTGAAAGACTATGTTCACAAATGATTACAATAAATGTGCAAAAAAACAACAACTACTAACTAGCTTTTAAAGCACAATCTATAGATCCCCAATTAATCCTGAAAAATTAGGATTCCCCTCCATGTCTCAGTCTTACCCCCCTGATCTTGTCCTGATTATCGCTGTTACACTTAAAAATATATAAATAAAAGCCCAGTTTAGGGATTAGTGATTAATTGATAAAACAAATTAATCACATTTTCTTTAAAGATTACATTTTTGGAAGATCATTCTTGGATATATATTAGGAACTGATAAAGTAGCTCGCTGTGTAACAGCAATCGTCATAAACATTTTATTTATTTTATTTACATTTATTTTACAAGTCTCAAGTTTCATTGCCCCTGAATTAAAGTCAATTCCCCCCGGAGGGGATAATTGAAAGAGGGTTAGGGAGCAGCAACCATTGACAACACTAGTAATATTTCAACCAAACATTTATCTTAGCAAAGATCGGTTTATTCAAAACCAAACTTATCAATTCACACATCCCATAATGTCACAGGACGGCTCCCTGTCTGTGATGAAAAGCTTTCACTCTCCTCTTATTTAAAGCTTGCGTTTAGCTTTTCTACCGTGACTTACTTTAAGCTGTGCAGTCGTTGCTTGATAAGCAACATGCTTCCTGCATAGTCTGAACGCTATAATCTGTTTCTCCTTCATCGGGTGCTGAAGGCTCGGAACATCTGCGTCCGGATTGGTGACAAACGCCTTAACCATAGACTGCAGCGTATATCGAAATATCGGAAATGTCTTCAGATGTCATACCACCCTTATTGGATAAAATTATACTGTGATATATATTGAGATTGAATTATTGTCCTGCCAAGGCCCATACATTAAGACATGCTAAAGTGACATTTTTCTATTTAACATGATAACAGACATCTAAAGCAAAATATAACCAGATGTTTTTTAGTTGCTTAATAACTCTCTTATTACCACATCATGAATGACAGGAATCGGCATGTTTGTTTCAATGCTCAAAAGAAAACATTATTACAGATTAACACCCAGATAGCGAAAGTACAAGTTGTCTTTGAAAGTTGCAGAATCACTTCATCATACACATTGGGGTTGACAATATTACAGCCTGAAAATCTAAATAGTGTGGATTAGGTGGGGGAGTCTTTTCTTTGACCTTCTTATACCCAACAAAAGTGTTGTTCTTTCTGGCACGTTCTCTTGCACCTCATTAAGACAACTTAAAACCAGAGAAATGCTGTGATGGAAAACCTTTATGCTTTCAAACCCCTAAGGTTTTTCTTTTTAAACCTGGTATCTCCTTAGCTTTTAAAACAGCTGGAATTCTTTGAAATCCTTTTCGCTCCATAGTCCGTGACTAGAAGCAAGATTCTCTTAAAAATGGATGATTTCATCATCACTGAACATGCTTTAGATTAATGGATTAAAGTCTGAGAGTATGATTACTCTCTGCACTGCATCTTTACTTGTCATGCAGCCTTTTATCATTAATGACTGTAGAAGTTCATTTCATTCCTTTTAAGCAGTCATCTTTACATGCTTCTTTTGGATCACACCAAACAAACTTTCCAGGAGGAAATAAAAACAAAAAAAAAGATAAGTGAATAAATATAAAATAGATATGAATGTGTGTGTATGTGTATATGCTGAATATTATTATATAGATTTAATCACCTTTTTTAAAATACTTAGTTCATAAATAGAAAGCAACAACTTAGAAACCAGTTTATGTGCAGTTTTTTTTGTTTTGTTATCGTTCTGTGCAAAATTAAAGTCCCACAAAAAGAAGTATTTACTCCTTACAGGTGTCTTTTTTTCTCTCTTGCATTTTTTTAAACCTAATGTTTCAGATGATCGATTCAATGTTTATCAATGAAGTTTTTAAGTATTTAGGGACAAAAAGCATTTTGTGATTCTTATTTGCTTGTTTCTGGTCATAGATGAGCAGATATATACCAGATTGCTTTGCAAAGAGATCAGATATATCTGCTCATCTAGTGACCATGGATGATCACTACTTTTGAAGGTCCACTGCGGGAAATTTAGAGTCTGCTACTTGTTCATCCACTAGACGTTCGGACACTCATCTAAAATAGTGCAACCGATATATAGTGCCCTCTATAGTTGTTAGGGTAGACATTCGGACAAAGCCACAGATCCCTGCATGATAGTAGAAGTAAGAACTTACAGTAAAGTCAGCAACAAGAGATTCTTGACAAGAAAGTTTTTGGTCATGGAAAAAAAAAACAGTCATGAAAAAAAAAACCGAAACCCTGGAGTGAAACATCTAGATGCTTCTGCTTATTGTAAAGGAAATGTCAGGTTGGGTTGAGGTTTTGAGGACCCAAATGCAGAGAGTAGTAGGCACGGGTGAGTTTGGATGGTTTAAAGAAAGTCTGAGGGAAACAGGCAAAAATACAAAATCCAAAAATACTGAAAACCAAACCAAACAAAACCAATAAACTTCATGCAAAAATACTTTAGGGAAGCAAGAGACTAGGAAGCAACAAAACATCTGCAACACACAAGAAACCAGCACTGAATGAAGGCTCTGGTGCTTTTTTAAGCCCAGCACTATGATTATAAAGATTACTTTCACCTGTGTAGGCTACACAAGTTCTCCACAAAGATCCTCTATAGTAGAGATGCACAACTCGCACTAACACACACTCAGGAACCCTGACAGGAAAACCATAATTAAATCACAATATTGGTTAGAAATAATCTGTTTTTATTTTTGGCAGACTCTATTTTAACCATTTTATAGACGTCTAGTCATTAATAGATTTAGCATCTGATGTTTGCCACGGATGTCCAATTGGTCTAGTTTAGTTAATCTATGTTAGTTAAATCATGAGTGTTGACCTGAAATGATGGAAACTGCAATGTTTCTGGCGTTGTTGATGTGCTCTTAGAATAATTTTATAGCAATTAAGGCTCAATGCTGTATACTTGTTTCCTACAAAGCAACAAAATTAACTCTCTGCATTTAACCCATCCCTTTGGGGAGCAGTGGGCTGCCATTGTGCAACGCTCAGGGAGCAGTGTGGGGTTAATGATCTTTGCTCAGGGACCCACAGTGGCAGTCTGTGGGAGTGGGGCTTGAACTCAAAACCTCTGGGATCCAAGCACAATGCCCAAACCACTAGGCCACCACTCCTCGCATTTGCTTGAATCCCAAAAATTTTAAAAAGAAACATGCTTTGAGTTGTAAGATGTTTTAGTCTACTTCATCTAGGCTCTGTTTAAGTTATTTCTTGGTCTGGCAGTAAACAGCTAACGGGCAGTTACCTCTTTATGGAGGGACAGGGTGGTTTACATAGTTTTCTTATTTATGTTGTCTTTGTTTGGTGTTAGGTATAATTTAATGATCTGAATAAGTTAAATGTAACAAAATAGACAAAAACAGACCTCATGGTGTAGGATGAGCTATTGCTTCTTGTGTCTGCCAATATATTTGAATTGGAGTATGAATTTAGTTAAAAACTAAAGCAGCTGTGAGGTTTTAAGGGTCTGGGAGGAGTAATGTTTTTGTTTTTTCTCCCAGTTGCCTTCTGGCTCACAAACCAATGGGGGAAAACGAAGACCTGGCCAAAACCAGCTGTAGCAGGACGCTGCTGGTCCGCCACTTACCAGCCGAGCTCCAACAGGATGAGAAGGAGGACCTCCTCAAATATTTTGGCGCCGAATCAGTTAGAGTTTTTTCAAACCGGGGACGTTTGGTAGGTTTTTAATTTTGGCCGTTGTAAATTTAGCCTTTATGTCCGATTGAATCATCCTTTTTTTCCCCTCTTCACAGAAACATGCAGCCTTCGCGACATTTAAAACTGAAAAGATGGCAGCAAAGGTGAGTTTTTTTTTTTGTGACCTTTATAAAACGACTCCATTCTGCACGTTGTCTTCAGTGAACCTGTATAGGTGCCGGTATTCACTCTCCCTCTTTATCTCTCATAGGCTCTCAGCCGGCTCCATCAGTTACAGATCCTGGATAGAACCCTTGTTGTGGAGTTTGCAAAGGGCCAAGACAATATAACAGTTTTAAAAGACCCCCCAGTGTCCGATGGGTATGTTTTTCTAGTTAGCTAATAAATGTCGAACTCACCCAGGTAGGGGGAGATGATCACTTCTCATGTTTTGCGTTTAAACTTTTCTCTTTCCCTCACAGTCATGTCAAAGAAAAACAGAAGACACAGGAGAGTAAACAGCCAAACATCCCTCTCATAGAGACGGGTGTTTCTCCTAGCCTCGGGTAAGAATGACTGGATGACCTAAGTATCATTTAGTTGGAGAGGCCTCTTTACCTGAAGCACATAACCCCCCCCAAAAATAGCCTCAGACCTTTCCGTGTGCACGCACGACACATGTTCCTTAACAGTTGTCAAGGTGTCGTGAGTTTGCTGTGCAGAACCTGCCTGTAGGCGAGCTGACAGTGAACCTGGAAGAGAATCTGAGAGGTGTATTTGGGAGCTGTCAGGCGCCTTGTGTCCAATTAAATAGCCGGGCTGCCACTGAGCTCCTGACAGGCAGCCTGTCCTGCCAGTTGACAGGGCCAGGTGCTCTCTGATGGGCTCACCATGTTAGCAACAGCAGACTCTTCCTCTCGAGCAACTTTTATCTTAAACCTAATAACTTTTTTTTCTTGTTAGTAACCTTGGTGGTGTTGAAGAAATTTTTGCTGAAGTGATTTGGTGGTTGTTTCACAGAGCTGCTTCCTTTGCACAAAAAAGAAAGAAAAAGAGTAGAAGCACCTTTTATGAAAGAATGTTCAAATTTGTAAATAACAGCAGATAAAATGTAAACTTTGTTTAAACCCTTTGATAGATAAAGGGTTTAAAATATACCATTGGAGATTTAGAAAGAAACTGCTAGTGGCTTATATTAGAAGCTTTACAACTAGAATTAGAAGAAGTCCTGTTTTCCTGATGAGTGAGCTATACCTTACTGTTGCCGCATTGCTCTGACAATAACACTCTTTTCTGTATTAGCAATCAAATAGAAATAAAAATTTAGACTTATTTAACATTTATTATATAAATGTGTCATTTTTATTTTGTAAATGGAGAAGGAATAAAGCAATACTGGCTTCAGATATTAGCCCCATAAAATCAGCAGAACATATCTGGGATTGGTTGGACTATTGTTAAAGGAAAATACCGGTCAACAAGGAATGATCAATGGGTCATTATTAATACCTAAAACTAATGCGTTCGCGATGATTTATTGAAACTAGCGTTAATCAGTAAAAAAATAAAAACAATATTTTTCGATGCGATCACTGAGTCTTGTACCGGCCATTTTTGCCTAAATATAATAACACCTCACTCCTGACATCTTCCGGCAGTGACATCATGGTGCGGTAAGCCTAGCGCCATTCTCCTCGCTTTATAAGCAAAATCAATAGGAACTGCTAGACACATCTGCAATTAACAACAATTATTTAAGATTTCGAGAGGACTTCACCACTGAAATTCGTGAGAACAATAGTTAAACTAACAATGCCCACGTGCATGGCCGTTGGATGCTGTAATACATCGGGTAAAAGTAAAAACAAAATGAATTTTCACTTCAAATTCATGATTCTCTACGGACGGGTTCGTCGTTGGATTGCCAACTTGAAGAGGGAGGGTTTGCCATCGAACTTTAGGCTTCGCCACTCTCGGCTTCGCATAGTGCACTTGTCCTCACCATCATGGATACTAGCGCGTTGTGATAAACACCAGATACAGTACTGGGACTTGCTCAACAGCCGATACCCCACTGTGACGTCACAAACCGGTAAGTGGCAGTAGTGTTCTTTGACAAACATGGATGTCTCCGGTAGAGAACATCCAAATGAAATCACTCTTAATTTGAAAACAAAGTATGTAATAATTTCATACTTAAAGTACTTCCAGAAGTTTGTATTCTGAATATGACCAGACTTTTCCTTTAACATACTAGGGGGAAAAAAACCTATGATGATGTATCTCTTCTCTGCCCATTGGTCAGTTCGGTTTGTCAAACCAACCTTCTGGGAATCCTTCAGAAACGTCCCTATAATCACTCAATAGCGTGATGTCGCCTCACAGGACTTTGTTGGTAGGGAAGAACTCTGTACCTCGATACCCACACCTAAACAAGTACGACTTTAGCTGTCAAAATAACACCTTTTCAAAGCGTTAACTCTAGGTCCCTCAACAGACAGGTGCAAATAAGCAGGCACCATTTCCGCAACCAATGTCTCATTTTGACAACTGACATTGTGACGACCTGTTACATTTGAAAAATCTCCTTCAGTGGACTGAACTTATTGGTTCTTTGAAGTTCCGGATATTTTAACACAGTTAGCATATCATCTTGTACTTGTGTTCCTTCTTCTTCATTCTCCATCCTTGTGAAGACCAATATGGTTCGATGTTGCAGAGATCTGGTGACTGACAGCTTGTTTTCTATAGATATCAGCGGTGACATTTCCATCTCTCTAATGTACACCAGGCTATCCATAAAAGACAGCCTTTTTTTCTCTGGCATACCCCCTCATAAACTTGATGTTGTTTACTGAGTTCATATGTTCAGTCATGGCTTCCTCTTCTTTTAGCTTGGATTTTGACCTGTGGTATTCTGATGTGTTGAGGAGCACCGTTTGCTGCTAAAATGGCGATGATTCGGTCTTTGCTGAGGGAACGTAGCACCTTTCCTTTCCTAGAATATGAGGTCAGAAAGAGGATTACATGTTGAGGTGCACAAATGAATTGACCTGATATCAGGTCAGGTCAGATTGGCTGAGATCTGAGACTGGCAGGTTCTACTGCCGACGTAATGCTGTTTTTCATGAATTAGAATAGAATAGAGTAGAATAGAATTCAACTTTATTGTCATTACACTGTCACAAGTACAAAGCAATGAAATGTAACTAGCATCTATCCAGAAGTGCTATACAGGATTATTTACATGTGCACAGAAACTATGTATGTATGGACTATAAATGGAATATATAAACAGAGTAATTGTAAGACGCTATAAAATAAATGAATATTGGAAGCCAAATACAGATTATACAGGCAGTTATGATATAGATTATATATGTATTAGCAGGGTTATAACAAAGGATAAATAATGACAGATAATAGCAGATAAAAGATTTACAGATTATATACAGCTATAGTTGAGAAGTACGTGTAAGTGGTGTTGGATCCATATGTTGTTGTGTTGGGGTGTGTGTAAGTCTTAATTTAAGATGTTTAAAAACGACCCTCATTTTTTGTTTGCAAACCTACAACAGACAGCAGACCTTTCTTTTATGTGTTAAGAAAACAACTAGTTTGTGTCCCATTTAAAGTATGGTGTCTTATTTATGGATGCGATGCAGTAATCAGGGTTTTACTGATTTATGCAGATTTCTGTTTCACCTTAATCTGACCCGCTGCTTTTAATTTTTTATTAATGACGTAAACATTCATACTTATTTATTGAAGGCTCTTAAAAGTAGCAAACATTGCTGCAGTTTTTGGAGAGAAGTAGTTTTGAATGTAAAGGAAAATGATGGTGCTGCTTTCCCATCATTGGTTCCTTAGTATTACTAACTCAGTGATTATACATGTAGAGGTCTTGATGGGCCCCAAAAGGTGTTTACAGATCAATAAAAACACAAAAGGAATGAGATTTTTTTTAACCTTCTGATCACCAGTTTTATTCGATCCCGGATTGGTGGATAATTCATGATGTTTGACGTTAACATTCCCTCCTCTCTCTTTGATTCCTTCAGGATGAAATTTCATTCAAATCCCACGCTGAAATATTTATACCCGCCGCCCTCCAACAGCATCCTCACAAATATAACACATGCCCTCATCGCTGTGCCAAAGTTTTATGTCCAAGTGAGTAAACACTGCTTCTCCTGTTTTCTCTTATCTTTCATCCAACACCTTGATATGCAAATGTCGAGAGGCTCGCTGCCTGCATCTGTCTGCTTCCAACCATGTGTTTTATTCATTTTACTTTACTTTTTAGGGAGTGGGGGGATTTGTTTAAAAAATTTGACTATAACATGGAATCTATTCTTCAGATTTCTGAGCACCATCCAAGCTCTTAAAGATCAAACAGCAAACATTTGCCTTTTATATCCCAATTGAGGGAGCGAGTATTAATAATAAACCATAAGTGGGAAGCATGAGTTATGGGTTTAACATTTCCCTGGGAGCAGAGCTGCTTCCTGCTTTGACATCTAGGTGGTGCTAGTGTGCTGCCGAGTTGCTCAGCTGAGCCTCAGGTATCTCTCTCCGGCTTCAATCCCACCTTGATCCCCGTATTTGTATGCAGAAGTCGGCCAATCTGTTTTACATACGGATCCAGCGTTACAGGCTGCCTGTTTGGGAGCAGCAGCGTGTTTATACAACCAAGACTGTGTTATGATTCCTCACACATGACTCTTCCTGTTCTAATGCATTTGCCATGTATTGAAACAGGTGCTCCATCTGATGAACAAGATGAATTTACCGTGTCCGTTTGGTCCCGTCACAGCAAGACCGCCCATGGTAAGATTCTGGACTCGGTTTGTAAATGCACAAACGTTAGAGATACTTCTACTGGATGTTAAAAAGAAACTAATTCAGCCTCTTAAACTAAAATTATTGTTTTAGTTTAAGAAAATAGATTATGGGCAATCAGATTTGAAGGAGATTTATATTTTTGACCATACATCTTCATGTCAAGGTCTGGACTTTGGGCCACTGTAACACATGAATCTGCTGTTATAAACCATGAGCTTTTAGCTCTGGTTGTGTATTCAGGAAGGTGAAAGCTTTCCTTGACTTTAGCAGCTTCTAACAGGATTCCTTCTGAGATTTTCCTTGTTGTTTTTCTTCATTCATCAGCTCTGACCAGCTTCCCTGCCTCTGCTGCTAAAAAATAACCCCCTCCCTCTTCCTCTGTCTCCCTCCATCCAGTATGATTCTGGCATCGCTATGTTCAACTATGTGGATGGTTAGTTCAGGCTGTTGTGCAGCAATGTTTACTGCACAACAGCCAAAAAAATGTTTGTTTGGCTCATTGCAGCTCCCCCAGTGCTGCCCTGAACCTCTTGTTTGATTATTTGGTTCATGCGTGACCAGGCTGTCACTTAAGGTGCACAAAGAGTCCAGTTGTATTCATAATGGACAGTAATCTTTAAGATGTCGTTGTATTAGACAGCTGTTAAAGTCTTAACTTTGTTTGTTTTTAGGGTTAAAATCCCAACCAGTACATTTCTGCTTAAATGCAGCTTCTGCTTATCATGTATTCAAAGTTCTCTTTAGGTACTTTCTGAATCTCCTCCCAAAACCAAAAAAAAAAACAAAAAAACAAACAAAACATTTTAGTTAAGTGGTTTCTATAAATTGCCTTAAAGTGTGAGAGTATGCAGGCGGAGTAGTATGTCCCTGTGTAGTCGTCTAATGGGCAGTAACCCATCCAAGTTTTTTTTTTTTTTTTTTTTATAAACTTAATTATTTACAATACACAACAATACAAAACTGCATTGTGTACATATCACAAAACAAAACCAATTGCCAGGGGGAGCATTAACAGAAAACAAAAGTATAATAAGAAATGACAAAGTAATCTTGTTTAAAGAAAAACAGTACCAAAGGTGACAAAAATACCAGATGTACGGAAGAGGATTAGGGCCACTGAAAAAAAAAAAGTTAACTGATTTTTAAATTTTATTTCAGTTTAACATGGTTGTTTTTCTCAGAATTTTGACTTTAATCTCAGAATTCTGACTGAATTC